CAACAGGTCTGGAGTACATTATAATAACAATGATTTTATTCATATTATGCTTCAAGAGATTTGGAGTAAATTATAATTACAATGATTTTATTAATATTATTATACTTCAATAAATCTGGAGTACACTATAGTTATAATGATTTTATTCCTATTATTACACTTCAACAGGTCTGGAGTACATTATAATAACAATGATTTTATTCCTATTATTACACTTCAACAGGTCTGGAGTACATTATAATTACACTGATTTTATTAATATTATTATAATTGTTAGGATTTTTCAGCAGGTTAAAAACATCTAAGTATTTTATTTGATGCTGATGTGGTACTTCCAACTTAATTTTTAATTAACTGGATCTGAAGAACCAATAAATAACAAGGTTTGAAATAAGAAGACAAAGTGAAACTGAGCTCCCTTGATTTTGACTGAGTCATGAGAAAGGAGGGGGATGAACACTGTGAAAACAATTTTCATTCAGTTTATAAAACAATAATAGTAACTAGTGTAAGTAAAACTAAGCTGAGTGTCTTTTGCTGGAGCTTGAGCACTGTGAGAAAAATGTGCAGGTCTCATTGACAGATGTGTTTCAAACATAGCATTATATATATAGTTATACATTGTTATCCTCCTCAAAAAGCATGTACTACTTATGTCACAGTTAGTCATTCCTATCAAAAAATAAAGAAGGTCATATCCTCAAGATATCACCTTACACACCAGCAGAAAAGTTTGCTGTCTAATTAACTTAGTGTATTCTACATTACAGAAATTCTTCCAAAGATACCTTGGAAGCAGTGCCAAATTTACTATGAGGCAACTGCCTCAGGGGCTTCACAATTTTTTTTTAATATTAATATTATTAAATGTAAACAATTAAGCTGAACTGATTTTTATTTCTATAGTATAACTGTTCTATCATAGGTGTATTCCACCTGCATGGCCTGAAAGAGAATATAGATTATTACAAATTATATATTATTGATTTTTGTATTATTATATATATGTTAAAGAAATGAGTGATTGACACAAAAATCCACAACAACATCTTAGTGGTGCTCAAAAGAGGAAATTATTACATGAGAAAGAGAAAAAGTATCAGGAAGTTGTAAAAAATGTAGAACGATTGGTGAATACTTTACTCGGTCATAATACTGAAGGTTCAGTTGTTACTCAGTCTCAGATGGACTCTGATTCAGAAGAAGCTCCTCAAACAGAATCAGAATCAGTTCAAGTACAGCAAAAACTTCTAGGAGTTGAACTGAACATTGGTCTATGGCCTTTTCATCTGACTTCTGAAGTGATTAATTATTGGGTAAATAGAGAGGTCCAAATGTGTTACAAAACAAGGGTTGTGACTTCACCAAATCAAGCAAAAGTATACAAATGTTTGATCGTACTCATCCAAATGGTGAAAAAAATTGATCGAAGCTGGTTATTTTATTCACCCAGTACTGGTAAGGTTTATTATTTTCATTGTAAACTATTGAATCTAGCCCAAGGTCCACTGGTTACTCAAGGGTTCAATGATTGGAAAAATGTCGGCTGTTCACTAGATGGTCATGAACAATCAACAGTTCATTGTGATGCAATCATAAAATTTGCATAACTTATGACAGACAATAGTAGGATTGATAAGCATCTGGTAAAACAAGCTGATGAATTAGCAAATTATTGAAGGAATATACTTCAGAGAGTGATAATCATGTTACTTGGGGAATGTGGGCTTCCTCTCCGTGGTGACAATGAAAAAGTAGGTTCAATCAAGAATAGAAATTTCTTGGGTATGATGGAAGTTAAAGCAGAGTATGATACTATGCTGGCAGTACATATACAAAAACATGCGAACAAAGGAAGCGGATATATAAATTACCTGTCATCAACCACTTTTGAGAAGCTCATTGAAATAATTGGTAATTTAATTCTGAGCACTAATGTGTCTAGGATAAAATCATCAAAATATTTTTCTGTATCTATCGATGCTACTGTAAATAAAAGCAATACTGATCAGCTCACTTGTGTTAGATATTTGGAAGCTGATGGTTATTTTGAATAATTTCTAACCTTTATGTATAGTCGTGGTCACACTGGTCAGCAGTTAGCATCATCGCTTTTTTCTTTCTTTGAAATGAAAATATATTGTTATAGAAAACAGTTGTGGCCAGTTCTATGACAATGCAGCCAACATGAGTGGATGTTACTACGGGATACAAAGTCTTGTTGGCTAGGCTGCTGTTGATTGTTGTGTTCAGGTAGTGGGGTTTTTCGATTTCTTGCAAAGGCTTTACACATTTTTAAGAGAGAAGGTCAAAATCAGAGGCTTAATGATGCCAAAGGAGTTGTCACAGACTAGATGGTCTGCTCAAGCAAATGCCACAAATGTATTGTAATTTGGCTATGCTGAAATTCTGGTTGAATTTGACGAAATATCTACTAATAAGGATGAGAAAGGAGAAAATAAAAACACAGCATCAGGTTTAGTGAACATAATGTGTAAATTGGAAATGGGGATTTTCAGTGATCTGTGGCACACCATTCTTGAAATATTTGATGTGATTAGCAAGCAACTACAAGACCCCAAGGTAGATCTCAATTCAACGATTGTACTGCAGAAATTATTAGTGGAACTTGTGCAAGTGTTGCGAAGTCGTCTTGTTGATTTTGAGCAATCAAGAATTGAAAAAAGTGGCACATCAGAATACAGTGTACAGCATGAACATGTTTGTCATAATAATGTCAGATTAGAGCCATTAGATTATGGCAAAGGTAAAGAAGTACAGCAGAGTCCAAGAGACCACTTCAGAACTTCCAATTTCATACCCACCATCGATCATCTTGTGCAAGAACTTGGAAAAAAGAATTGAGTCTTATTCTCATGTGGCTCAAAATTTTGGTTTCTTGGATGATCTAGTTTCTCTAACTGATGATAAAATTCAGGAAATGTCAGATAGATTACTGAAACTTTATTCTGGTGATCTGGAAGGGTGTCTCAGTAATGAACTTGTTCAATTGTTGAATTATATTTAGAAAAAAAGGAAACATTATTGTGATATCAGTAATGCTCATTTCATGTATCTCCTTATTCATAAGAAAAATCCAGATCATCCTTTCTAAATGTTGAAATTCTTCTTGTGATTTATTTGTCATTCATGATATCCAACTGTTGAAGTGTAAAGTCTTTCTCAAAGCTGAAGTATATCAAAAATGATTTGTGCACAACAATGAGTCAAAAAGTGACTGAATTGTCTTTCTTTAATGTGTATTGAAAGTGATAAAATGACTGAATTGTCTTTCTTTAATGTGTATTGAAAGTGATAAAATGACTGAATTGTCTTTCTTTAATGTGTATTGAAAGTGATAAAATGACTGAATTGTCTTTCTTTAATGTGTATACAAGTTCAGAGCCACAAAAACCTTACTTTTAAATCTGTTTATTTCATTTTCATATTGTAAGCATGTATAATATAATATAATATGCATATGTGACTTCTTTTTTTTATTTCCGAAAACATATGAGTTTGAACAGGGTTAAGGGCCTCCACAGGTCTAAATCTGGCCCTGCATGGAAGAATGACTCAAGAAATAGGTGTCTAGCATGAAAGAAACTTAGCCACCTTCTTGATATATATGTGTGTGTTCTTGAACAGCTTAAACATACAAATATAATTGTATGCACAAATACTTTAAGAGTTCACTATATTAAATAAAGGAATTAGAAAATGCCTAACCTGCCTATATACTGTAAGGGCCAAACAGAAGTATCTTGATTATTAGTAAAAACTGAAATATATAACAGTTGATTATCTTATCTTGTTGCAGATAAACTACTGTCTGAGGGAAAAGCTGGATCTTTTGACTTTGCTTTTATTGATGCTGATAAAGAAAGATATCCTGACTACTATGAAAAAGCTCTTCAGTTGCTGAGACCTGGTGGGATCATTACCATAGATAATGTAAGTTTTGTGTGAAGTTTACCATTCTATGATAGATGCAAAACAAATAAAGAAATAAGAGAATTCTTGGGGAAAAATCAGGCTGAAACTTTATTGTTTCCAGAAAGGATTACATCAAAAAACTTTATAAGTATGACTATCAACTTCTGTTTGAAAGATTACTTTAACAGCATTAAAACTACAAAATCTAATTATTTCTAGAAATTGTGGATTCAATTTTCTAATACCATGTTGTTAACAATTTTAAAATAACAGTTTAGACCTAAAAATCTGAGTTTTTTATTAAGGATATTTCTTTTACTTATTGTTGAGGTTGAGTTATATTGAAGTCATTATTTTTATTTACTGTGACATGTGCATGATACAAGAAATTCAGATATTCTTGCTTCACCAGTATCAAAAAAAGGCATTCACACAACGTGTTACAATGTTCTCAGAAACCAATATATGTTATTTCAGATAGAGGCATCTGTTAAATAAACATTTATAATTATCATTATCATGCTAAACCACTTACTACTTACATAAAACTCAACCTTCTCTTTAAAGGGTTATGTTAATAACACCACTCTAATTGTGTAAATTGTGTAATTCAGTCTTTACAGACATATATAAAGTATTGTGAACACTAGACTTCCACACCTGCTCAGCTGCAACATATAATATTGATCAACATATATGTCTATGAACACACTACTACGTACTCTACATGTCTGTCAGTAGTAGTACTAACACCTACAGGCTGTACCAGGTACTCTACAGGTGACTGTTATCAGTAGTACTGACACTTACAGGCTGTACCAGGTACTCTACAGGTGTCTGTTATTAGTAGTACTGACACCTACAGGCTGTACCAGGTACTCTACAGGTGTCTGTTATTAGTAGTACTGACACTCACAGGCCATACCAGGTACTCTACAGGTGTCTGTTATTAGTAGTACTGACACCTACAGGCCATACCAGGTACTCCATAAATGTCCATTAGTAGTAGTAATAACACCTACAGGCTGTACCAGGTACTCTACAGGTGTCTGTTATTAGTAGTACTGACACTTACAGGCCATACCAGGTACTCCATAGATGTCCATTAGTAGTAGTAATAACACCGACAGGCTGTACCAGGTACTCTACAGGTGTCTGTTATTAGTAGTACTGACACCGACAGGCTGTACCAGGTACTCTACAGGTGTCTGTTATTAGTAGTACTGACACCTACAGGCCACATCTATGGAGTACCTGGTACAGCCTGTAGGTGTTATTACTACTACTAATGGACATCTATGGAGTACCTGATATTTGTTATTGCTACTACTAATGGTTACAGACTGTACCAGGTACTCCATAGATGTCCATTAGTAGTAGTAATAACAACTACAGACTGTACCAGGTACTCTACAGGTGTCTGTTATCAGTAGTACTGACACCTACAGGCTGTACCAGGTACTCCATAGATGTCCATTAGTAGTAGCAATAACAACTACAGACTGTAGCAGGTACTCTACAGGTGTCTGTTACAACTAATAAGTTCTCTGTATTAATTTATGATGTAGAATTTTTGACATATATGAGTTTACTAATGGCTCTCCCCATTCAGCCACTAAGTCACCTATCTTAGCCGAATTAGCTCATTAAAGACAAACAGTGAATTCCCCTGGAACTGTGTTTTACACAAGATTATTAAAGATTGTTAATTTAAAAAGGGGGGGAATAGGGATCTTAAAAAAATTACAGAAACAAGATAGGTAGCTTAAAGTAAAAATGCAATTGCAAAAAATTTAACAAACAAGCTTAAGGTTTGAGACATACTTTTGACATTATTTCTCCAAGCTACAAATCCCTATTTCGACTCCCCGAAATATTACAGCTTTTAAACATGGAGTCAAAATAAGGATTTATAGTTTTAGGAAATAATATCAACACTATATTTCAAACCTTAAAGTCATTTGTTTAGTTTTTTGCGATTGCATTTTTGGATGATCCTTATTACCCCTTTTTAAATTAACAACTTTTAATAATTTTGTTTATCTAGTTTTTTTATGTCCATAAATCTGTATAATAGCAATACTGTCCTCTTTGAAAGAGCTTAGTTTAATGAAATATGTAGTTAGCGTATGATGACCTCTTGGGGAACAATAACAACCTTTGGATTGGCTTAATGCAGATTGGATGACTATTGCTTGTGATATCATTGCCACAATGTTATCACTGATAGTGGTACTGCATGTACGTTCACTATGATACATGGTGATCAACAAACCATATGTTATGGTATATGCTTGTAAAATATATATAGCTACTATAATTATAGCCTGTAGTTATAAAGAGAGTCCGTAAACACTGGTTTGAAGGGACTAGTGAACTATACTGGAATGGTGCATTAAACACAAGTTTAATACATGCATGCATATGCAATGCATGTTGGGTAGTATTTATATATATATATACATGCAGCCTTTATAGGTTTTTAAGTTGTAAAGTTGTATATATATATATATACACACACACACACACACACACACATAATC